CCACGCTACCGAGCCATCATTCCGCTTGCCGCTGTTTGGTTTGCGGACGTTGGGACTGCACTACGGGGGTCAGTGACAGACCTGTGAACCTGTTGACGCTACGAACGTGAACAATTGAGGTTTGTTGTACACATTTGCTTGCCCTTGTGTAAATAGTGCCGTAGAATTACGAACCCAATTCCTCCTTTTGATGTTCGGGATTGTCGAACCTACGCGTCACTCAAAGTTCCGTATCGGGAAATTCAACAGGCTCTGGTGGAGTTGGTAACATCAGAACATTCAAGCGATCGAAATACGGGCAATGCAACCTGGTGTTTCGATCAGAAGTTACGAGTGATCTTGGTTGAACTGTCAGTATGCTCACACCTTCTTGCAGCATTCAGGATTATCGGTAAATACATTGGAGTTCTGGGTGACGTATTCTTCAAACTAGTTCAGTGGTTTCTCGACCTAGTCAAATCCCAACACATCATGACTGGGATGTTTATCAAACCTCCGGCATTATGATACAATGACTCACAATTGGTATCCCACGTAATCCACAAGTCACCACCAGAAGTAGTAGACGACTTATCGGGTGGGCTGTTGATTTACTAAGCAGATACCACGTATTTAAGGTTAGTGCATCGTTAAAGATAGTATCAAATTGCTCTTCTGCTGTTTTCCACCCTTGCTAACTCAAACGAATTCGCACTTGTCTCCATGGTTCTCTGTGTGTGATTCCGGAATAGTATTTTTCTCAAAAGACTGTCCAATAACAAATCCCACGTTTCCTCCGCCCAAGCACAGGTTATTGTTCGCGCTACTTTCATTTTCAAGTAGTTAGAACAAGCAGTCCATTTGACCGTGCCTGTTAAATTACCCGTAAATGACATGTTATTCACATGTGAAATTCATTAAACATGGATCATACCCTTCTCCAGAAGACTTTGATTTAGTTCACTATGAAACTGCCAGCAATTTGTCACCCGGTAGATAAGGTTCAGTTGGAGTGAACACCTGGGCTAACTATGTCTCTCCACAATAAAGAAACCACCGTAGCCTCCCGGTTCGCATTGTCAACATCCACTGAGCAGCAACCGATTTGTCCTGGTCTTGAATTCTAGGCAACATATCGGAAAGATTTTTTAAAATCGGAAACAATATATGGATCTGTTTTTGCGGTTCAACACTGATACATGCTCATTAGGGTTTTTCTACTGTGGTTAGAATAGTGATAAACAAAGAAAAGAAGTACGTCCTCGTGAACCAGAATCGACGACAACCCGAGATGCCTTTGCTTTCTCCAGAGGTGATAAATCGTATAAAAAATCCTACCGAAGACAGACTTCTCTCAATCAGAAGTTTTCTCGAAGGGTTACTGCCGGAGCTGACCAGCTAAACTCGTTCAACCAATGGACACCACAAGTATTTTCACACCGGGCATCACTTTTTTCGGGAAAGTATAATACAGCAACATGAGCGAAAATACCCGTTTTATTAGTATTGCTGTCTTATAAATCCCACATTTCATTCTGACCAGATGTAGTACACTCTAACCAGCAACATGTGAAATCCCGTTTCGGCTTATAATAATATCTGCGTAACAATTATCTCGAACAAATTATACAAAAAAACAACTCAGGAGGCTGTCGGAGAATCTTCAGCTACCTTATGAATAGTATATTACGTATAAATTATATATAATATATTAGCTGCGCATCAGGCGAGTTAGCCGCAAAACCAAATTAGTTTGCGAATGAGTGTATAAACTATCAGGCTGTTTTGGACATGCTGCATTTCAATTGCCACGATATTTGAGATGCCGCAATACATTTCCTTGACGTAATACACTGCTGATGGGAATGATGCACACTCTTCGACAACCCGCTACCTGTTTCGTTGTTGTTGTTCCACCCCAGAACCAAAGTTCAGTTCAAGCTTATTCCATAAAGAGCGCATTTTACCGACCGATTGGCGGTTTCCATGCTAGGCGCTGCTGATGACTGTCAGGGGATGTGCTGTGAATTGAAACGGTGTGCACTTTACAGTCTCCTTAACGTTGGCGAGCAACCAGTCTCCACCACTCCACCTGCTTGCGATCGAAATGTATGCGGTGATTACATAAATCGGATGTACATTCCTGTTACTATCTTGATTAGGTAAACCCTCTCTCAGTACTTGATTTCCGTAATATAATAGTATTACACCGGACAACTGTCTCACATCTAGGTAAGAATTGGAATATGACGTCAGGTGCTTATCTTTTTGTCATTGCAACATAATATGACGAACAGTCTATAGATTTAGTTTCAGGCTAAAAATGCTTTTTCGCTTGAATTCTGCACTGTGCGGCAGCCTCTTCACAATCGTATGTCGAGATACTCTTTTCTGCAGACTGTCAATGTGTGTCCAGCTAACTAATATGATCAGAACTCGAATCAACTAATGTTTGTTCGTATATCCCATCACCAAGGCACTATTCTAGTTGATTCGTTCAGGAGCTACCCTGATCGTTGATTTGGTCGACATTTTCAAAAAAACCCGGAGTTTCTCAACTGCCTCCAGATTTTTTCATCAAAAGTTTGGCTCTTAAACATGCCTTCTGTAAACTCATGTTTTAATCCCTATAGTACCGATCGGCAGCGTGGCATGCATGATCAACCATCGAAAACAGCTGGCTTAATCTCGTATGACGTAAAACCCACTGAGCATATTTCTCCTGAAAAGTGCCATAAAGTTGGACATACACCAGAAGGCAAAAAACACATTCACAAAAGAGTCCCACAACTAGGACACACTTGTGGTCAGCTTTCTAGAACCAGGTCAATCAATGATTAGCTCCCAGATGTTCCGTTACGTTTGGCGTATGAAATGAAAATTTTCGCTTCCAATAGAGATTAATGAGTGGGTTTCCAACTATTAAGCTATATCATACATGAGGTTATCCTCCATGTCTAAAATATCTTATCAGGCTCAAATGTTTTATGACCAACCAGAAATTGAATGACCTTAATGAAGACGAGGCTTGCCAAACACGTTTAGGTTTTCTCATGACAAGCCGCTCACCAAAGCAAATTGCATTTGTCTAGGTTTTCAGAAGATTGCAAACGGCTGCTGTGTAAATGGACCTTTATTAGTTTTCGTATTGACGTTCTCACAGTCACACCTCTAGCAAGGATTTAGCAATTAGTTGTATTGTTGATATCAGGAAGGTTACAAGAACGTCTATTTCAAGTCCTTTGAAAATTTACTTGCTAATCACCGCTTTAATCCTTCTTCATCAAAACTTTGGATATATTTCCTCGAGCATAAATTACTACAGTCAGTTACGGGACTACGCTTTAGCTATCGATCAAACTCTGTTGCTCGGACAATGGTGATTCTGGTCGCCAACAATCTTATCTAGGATTTCATTTTGTAAACAATTCCACCCTGCGTAGAGCCATTTTTGATTCCGGAATCATATGAGTTCAGGAAATCTGAAACAAGACTACCGGTCGTACTGGAGAAAAATCGTTGCAGAGATGACCGTTTAGTTGGGTGCTTGCTGATATTTATGTCTGGTTATTGCAGCGTTGTCGAGCCTTCTAAACTTTAAAACCTCCAGCGCCTTCTTAGAACCAATGCTGGACTTTTATTACTGAGAAAACAAAAATTATTTCATGGACGTTTCATTCTCGATGAGCATCAACAGATGCAATAGCCTCATGAATAACAAAAGAAGTTCAAACTGCTAGCCATCCCGACCAGGAGTTTAATTCCATGTGATTTCTTTACTTGCGGTTGTTCATTTGCACTTAAATATGATATGGTGTCAGTCAGCTTTCGAATTCTCCCGGTTTATTTGAATCAATCGTTGGGATGCCTTCCTATTTACGAGTTCAAATAAGGTATAAATCCCCGAAATATAGCCATTCATTAGGAGGCGATTACCTTGTAGAGCTTAGAGTAGCGCAAGCCTAGCTCTGGCCTACGGCTGAACACCCAATTGATGATATGCACCCTAGTTCTCCAGATGAACCATCTTGAAGAGGAAAAAAATACTGGCTACGTGCCCATGGATTACAAATTTATTCTTTTGGATGTCCTGATGAATTGGACTGAAGACCAGCTCCTAAATATCAGACGACAGTTTGGGCACAACAATGTATAAAGGTTTCTCCAAGACGAAAATTTGAAAACAACGTTTGACGTGAATCAACTGTATTCAAATGCAAGGTTTGCACTTCAAAGCGGAAGACACTCACAGTTACACCTAATACAGTTAACAACTTAATGTAGCAACACATGCCGAGTTGTGAACTGTTCCCAATAATTACATTCCTTCAGGGGTTTCTAACCGATGACACAGCAGCGTTTCCTTTAATGAACGAATTTCGTTTCACTGAAACGGACTGCAAAATTTAAACAAGTCTCCTCGTAATCTCTGACCAATCAGTTTTGTCCAGACACACAGCCAATAGATAGATAGTGATGAACTATCCAATCAACTGGAGAAACTACTCGTCAGATGGTAATTCTTTTGTGATCAGATCGTAAAGCCGGAACAACTTGAATGCTGGTTTCCCAAACTGTCCGTAAAATTATTGTTCATCATCCGTCAAACGAGGGAGGATTTTGTGGTGTCTTAGATACAATCTAGCTAAAAGCTCTTTCAGAGCAAAACGGAATTAGATGGCAAAAACACTAAAGTCCATCTTGACTCTGTGTTTCTACATCGTCGGTATGTGTGAAACTCACTCCTGTCCTCAAGGAACAACTCAGCTATCTCAGGGTTCATGCATAGTAATTCTCCGAAGAACAAAGGAATGGTGTGAAGCACAAGACCGATGCGCAAGCTATGGAACCGAAACTAATTCTCACTTTTTCCTTATTGGCTTTAATGCTCAATTTCTGCCTTTCAACAAAGAGCTGTACAAGGAACAGTACATATGGACGAGTGTATCAAACCTTTTGTTATCTCGTGCAAACCTGCCTTATGGCTGGAAAGACTCAAATCCACTAAAGCCCAACTTTAGCTCAGAAGTTGGTGATATCAAGTTTGATGAGCTTCGGCCGAATTTATCCGGTCATGTGACGGTACTTAGGGTAATATCCGGAAAAGCCGAGCTTTCCTCTCTGCACGGTGCTCGTGGAGAAGTAATTTGTGAATTAGCTGGACGCCTTCCACTTCCAATTCTGTTGGTACAAATGAGGACAAATTTCCCTCCTGAAATACCGTTGGTGCCCAACAACAGTTCGGAGGACGACAGCTGTTTTCTAGAAGTTCCAGAACCATCAATCTTGCGCTGCTTCTTCCTGTAAGTCACGCCAAGTATTTGTGAGCTAGTGGCTGAATACCATAAACTTTAGCTCCAGGTGGCTGATCAACTGTGCTATTGATCTACCCTTAGAAAGGACAAGGAGTCACCAGTTTTCAAAAAGTTCACTTCACTCGATCTTGCCGAAACGATCATCGAGTGAACACTCAACAGAGGGCTCATGTAACTCGTGATATATTTAGTTCCACATGTGTCAGCTAAGTATACGTACTTTCCGAGGTTAACACATGAAAATCTTATTAATGCGAAAGTAGTCATATTTATTCAAACTTAACGAAACCTTGGCGGATTCAGCTTTGTTTTAAAATAAACATCAGAGAACAAACTTGGTGAATCAGTTAACATTTATTTTGAATTTGTTGATTTCTAGTTGGCCTGTCATCATTACCACGGGTAAGCGGATATGGATAATGCGCAAGTACCATGACGATACAAAAGAGAACAGCGTCGTTCCCAAATGGCAGTGTAACCCACTCCTGAAACTCTACGTCAGTGACATCTAATCACAATCCGGAGCAACTGACAAGGGGTTTGTGAGTACATTTAACACGCTCATTCACATCTAAAACAATGTGGTGCACTATACTGCAGTGAAAAGAGCTAATCATACTGCTAAGTTATTAATTCGATACCAATAGACTTATTCTGTAATACGACTGTATTCCTTTGGTTTTTTGAACTCGTGACGTACAGAGTACGTCTGCGTAATAGAATAATCGATATATTAACATAACTAACACCCTTGTCAGTTATTGATTTTTCGTGAATGGTTTTCCTAATTTGACACCCCACCTATCCGTATAGACGTTGAGAATTATTTGTCCTTCATACACTGAGAGTTCACACGAATCAGTCAAGCTGGTATGAGTTGATGGTTAGTTCTCTTCTGCAGTTATGGTAGAAATGGTACTCGTTCACATTTTTATCAGAATCTTTACCTTCAAATACGAGAACGCTTGCAAACATTCAGTTCCAATCATAGGGTCCCCGGGGCATTGGCATGCGAACCCGCTCATTTCATCAGCATCAATAAGGACTACCTCTTGGAATTATCATATTTGCCGCCTGTAAACAGTGGTCCATATAGGAAGATGGACTGCTTTTCTGATAGTAAGATGCTTGAGGACTATTGAGAACATTGCAATGGTAGATATACAACGGAGCCCATTGGTTGAAAAGTGCTATTTTAAAAAGTCATCATCATGTACAACAAGTGCACTTAGATATATATTAAATTAATGAACCTTCTTAAAGCGGAAGTATTAAAAGCCAAATGCAAAAGTATCACGCCAAAAATCGCTAAATCAACTACCCACACGGACAGATGTATCTGTATCAATCGCTTCTTAACGTAAAGATTCCACTGGTAAGTTTACATCATACTTTTACATTGATCCGACCAATACTAAAGTTCCATCTGAATGACGTACACAGAATGAACTACCTTCAGGTTAACTTCTAGGAATTTTTATCACGGTATTCTGAACATCAAAATCAAAGAGCGCCAATCAGTGAGAGCTTTCAACAGTTCCGTACCGTGAAAGTTGGCGGTGGCTGCCCACTGCAGTGTACTGAAAAAAGGGCACAAAAACTTGAGGTTGCTAGCTTTTCCATGCTTTTGTTACTCTGGTTTGTCACCTGTTCTATGCGTTTTAATAACTGATTGGTGCTACTTCATATTCTGACTGCTGCAAATCAAGTCTGCATATGTCTTTACTGATGTTGCTTCTCCTTATGCTGTCGCCCTCATTTGGAGAACCTATCCAGGAGGCCCAAAAAAGAGAAACCGCCAATGGAGGAAATCTGAAGAGAAACAACTTGAAAACTAGTCTTCTATCAGTGCAGTCTTCTAGAGAGGAGGTTTTGTACAGTCGAGACAACCTAAAGCACACTATGCCAGCTTGGTAACATAAAATGTTCGGCAGGTGATGGTGATAAAACTTTTGACGGTGCACCAAGTCTTCATTAGAGGAATGTGTATGACATCAGTCCTCTGTGGCAGCAGCCGTTATTTTCCCACTACATGTAACAGACGCAGCAAAAAAGTTTAACAAATTAGCTGTAGTCTGAAAGTGTCACCTTCGAAAAAATTACAACACAAGCAAAGGCAATTTTCGAAGGCTCCCTGGAGTAAATTTCGACAGCAATCTCCGATCAAAGGGAAACCAGTTCATGTAAATGTCCAAGGTTATTCGCTAAGTGGAAGTCACCTTTCCAGCCCTGAGAAACTTCGCTAACACGCAAAATCAATATCTTTGTTTCACCGTCGAGGAGTACGAAAACATCTGAATGGGAGCCGTTGTAGAGCAGCATTTGATCATCTCCGTAAGACAGCAAAAGACTGATGTCATTCGGATATTGATGCAGGAGAGTTTCGACACAAATTTCTCCCAGGAATCCGTCACTCGTAGATAGTTTATTCAATGATGTTCTCTGATGTTTGTGCTCGTGCATTTCGTGTATGACCTTTCGTGAATTATAACACGAACAAGTTTTCCAAATGGCTGCCGTATCAGTTCTAGCATATTGAGGCCAAATGATGTCTCGATGAGACAACACATTGAGAAATATACTGGGGATGCATAAGGCAAATAAAATCAATAAACAATCGATCCAGAGGAGACCAGTCAAGCAATGTCAATAAAATTTAAACTCTAACGGTTTCGTTAGAACTAATGCAGTGTTTGAACATCATATGAGGATGGGGTACAACTGTCCGGTCAAGCGCTAGCTTCCTTTGGAACGTTTCTGAATATGCTTGTCAATACTTTCAACTGTGGTTAAATCCTAGGTCTATTTGATTTCGGTACTATTGACGAAGCATCCCAAATGGTTATACCACTGGTTGAACGTTGATCTGATGCAACGTGTCCAGCAGGAGAGCTAAAACTGAGCCACTTATGACATGCTGCATTTGAATCGAGAAACTGCCTGAAGTTGTTCACGTATCTCTTTGGACGACGGTCTTATCATCCGACCGATTTATATGCATTTGCAGGAGCAGACGAACTGATAAACAGGAGTACGGATGTGAGAGCTAAATCTGTTTTTCAGGCCTAACAGGTCTTTCACAAGTTGTATTAAGTTTCCGCACCGGGATCTCCCTGGTCATCTTTGAAGTACAAGCCTTCAAATACAGGTTTCTCTAAACACTGAGCTCGATATGTTCTAGAGGTATGTGCTATACGCTTTTCTGTAGACATCCGTCTAAATAACTATCCTATTTAAACATGATTATGGGGAATTCTATTTTCTCCACCATATTATCTTCAGAACAAGTATTCCTGACTATCTCACAACGGGCCAGGTTTAGCCTGACTCTCAGTATGACGAAACCTTAAAAACATTTATTGTCCAGTCTACACAAGTTTGCGGACTGCGCTTCGCAATCAATGGTCATCATTCCTTCCGGTCAACAATGAACGAATAAATTGCAGACGCTTTTTCGGTTTGAGGTTAAAATTGAATTAATTATTTGGACACCTTGTTAAGAGTAGTCAGTAGAGGTTTTATACATTTCAAAAATACCGACGTCTGTCTTAAAGCAACCTTACCAGCTCCCCAGTCAATAGTGTGTTCTCAAATATACGGTGTTCAAGATATTATTCTAGACCCTCTCAAAAGGGTCTATAACTTGTCAAGTCCAAGTTACTATTCGCAACCGCCGCTACTCATCAACGAAACAATAAGTTTACCTTTGTTTACACCGTTTTCAAATGTTACATGTGGCAAAAAGAAATCAGATGTTTTGCTACGAACAACAAATATGTTCGGTTTTTGCTTTTTAATGAAGATAAACAAAACTGCACTTGTAGTTGACCACGTTTCTATTACTTTAAATGAGTCAGTGAGGTCGTTTTCTTTTTCCTATTTTTACGACATTATGGGTGCAAAAGGTTTCCGAACCACAATAGTGCTTCGTACCAAAGAACTTGTCTTGCTCGACACCGCCCACAAGGAACCGTTGCTCGTTTTGGAAAGTTTGAAAAGCAGTTGGTGAATTTTTCCCTGCATATACTAGCTTACAGTCTCCAGAACTATTATACTAACATGAAACAAGTAATAACACTCCGTTTCCAAGCTTGGGAACATCCGTATGGGATTTGATTTAGGCTTTCTCGCCCAGTTTTATTCTAACATGAATAGAAAAAACAGGCTTTTGAAGAATGAATTTTGTGAAGAATTTCACGAATTCACAGACGTATCCAGGCGGATGACGAGCTCAATTCCTTAGGATCTCTAAACAGAAATACAGTCTTATATGAAAAATTGAAATTCGTATTCACGTACAGGTGAAAATTCTATTTCCCGTGTAAAGGAGCGACCGCTTACTAGAAGATGAGTTTCTACTCATTCAAATCGCTTGAGATAACTCTTGAGCTAACCTATTTGGACTCAGGGAAATCTGTAACTTCAACATCAGGCCCGCTAGTTTTGAACTGCCTTTTTGTAACGCAGTTGTACTCCAGACATTGAGGAAATTCATCACCGATTTTTTGTTATAATGGCTAAGTCCTTGCTGGTGAACGATTGGGAAACCTTTCATAGGAGAATTATACCAGGATCTCCACTGAGCTGCTAATACTGCAAGGCAAAATCACATGCGTTCACACTAAATGAATAGTACCTCTTGGTGCCGGAAGAAAATCAGGATCGCGAAAAGCCATTACATGCATAAAATATCCCGATTTTATAAATCATCTTTGATGGCCACGATGGATTAATGGCGGAGGAATGATTCTGTAGCTATTTGCGTCATCGATTTTACTACTTGATATAGGTCTGGGAAGTTATACTTGTGAAAGTAACTTTAGTCTTCAGTCCATTTCATTTCCAGGAATCCGGTTACGAAATCTAATGACGAAAGTCCCAAATTTGTATGTCATATTTGATTGTACACCTAAAGTCATTGGTAACGGCGTTGTGTGGTGATGGGTTTTGTAAGAGGCAGTGCGTTTTACCTTGTTGACTGGTCGTATATGCTTTACTTCCTGAATCGAGCAAGCTTGTGTAGGTGGAGACAGTGGAAGTAAAAAACTAAAGCAAATTTTGCAGACACTTGTAAACCGATGAGCCGCATTTGATCTTGACCTTCAGCTTAATATTGTCTATGCGAGCAACTGGCGACACTTGTCGTGAGAAGTCAATTCATGCCCAAAAATGAAGAGTTAGGGCCGTCGCCGTTCTTGAAGTGGACCAGGTAATTAAGAAACTGTGGGCGTGTAAACTGTCTGAATTGAACAAGTTGTGATCACATAAAGGAAACTACTCACAAGGTTCGGTTTGCACGTGTTTAACTCAATCAAGTTGGACGAAATTGAGCACTGCCAATTTATTTTGAGCTCGCCGCGTCCTTGTAAAAATTCGTGTATTACTGCCCATACTGAAATAAAAGTAAAAACTATTTTAATATTTAATCCCTAATTATACGCATCCACCAAATAATCCGGTCAGCGCCAACTTCCGGTAACGATTCTTTCAGCTTCCTCCAATTGATATAGAAGGACAGCCATAGTTAAGTCACTGATAGAAGTGGTGGTAAACGGCGCTTATTCTTTCTCCGTTGTATCTTCCTGAATGGTTCTAAACCAAGAGCGCTGTGCTACCTCAAGTAAGGTTTGCACCAAAATCTACAGATTATATATGGCTAACAAAACCAACAATGTGACCACCTTCAAAAAATCGCCTTCACAAAGCGGTTTGCACGTGTTTAACTCAATCAAGTTGGACGAAATTGAGCACTGCCAATTTATTTTGAGCTCGCCGCGTCCTTGTAAAAATTCGTGTATTACTGCCAGGTATACTGGCCCATACTGAAATAAAAGTAAAAACTATTTTAATATTTAATCCCTAATTATACGCATCCACCAAATAATCCGGTCAGCGCCAACTTCCGGTAACGATTCTTTCAGCTTCCTCCAATTGATATAGAAGGACAGCCATAGTTAAGTCACTGATAGAAGTGGTGGTAAACGGCGCTTATTCTTTCTCCGTTGTATCTTCCTGAATGGTTCTAAACCAAGAGCGCTGTGCTACCTCAAGTAAGGTTTGCACCAAAATCTACAGATTATATATGGCTAACAAAACCAACAATCATCCGACTGGCGCTCTTGTTGATACATGTGAGTGCATTACCTAGGCTAGGAAACGGGCTGCAATGATAACTCTAAGTCTCAATTCCTGGGAGCTGAAATAAAGGCATCACAAACGAGGGATTCGGCTTGGTTCCAGGTTAGTCTCGCGCAAAACCAAATTTGTTTGAACATGCGTATATTTCTCATGAGTAGCCTACTTTTAAGTATGACTAATGGGTGTTGGAAATATAGATGGCGCGTCATGAGTGCGTCTTCGGAATGGAGGAACCCGGCCGGCTCAAAACAGGCATCAACAAATTATACAGAAGCACGGTCCGTTTTTAGAACTGCAGAATTCATGTTCCTTTTAAGCACAATAAACATGGCCTGAAACACGTGAAACGTAGCAAAATGGCGATAAAGTTATGCCAAATATGGAAAGTGTCATTTCTTCAGTATTGCAGTTAACCGAATGAGGGAAAGCTCAAGCGTGTGCAACAAATGTTTGTGCCGACTGAAGGCACTTTATGCGCTTGATTAACCACAATTCGCTACCGTACAAATCAAACCAAACGATCAGCTAATCCACAGGATTACTCTGACGACCAATTTAACGTGGAATGTAGTAGTTATCTGTTGCGTTGCCGTTTTTTGTCATTCAAAAGTTTCGAACTTAGCATGAAGTTACAACGTGCCTTGCAAGACAGCTCATTGGGGAACACTACCATTCAACGAACAAAATGCAGCCCTAAATTCCTCGAACGACAGACCAACTGACCGGATGTTAGATGCTTACAATATTAATGTGGCTCGATTTCTCTTTTTCAAATGAGCGCTTGCTGTTTCTTTTGTTTCAAATATCTTCAAATATTCTAAGGATTTGGACAATCAGGTGAAATGAGTAAACAAAACTTTGGCGGTACAATATTGCCAGGACGCCAAAATGATAGGTTTTCATATCACACAATCCAAAGTCCCTTGCTACCAGAAGATCTTGATTAAGAAGTAACCGCGATATAAAGCAGATGAGTTTGTGGTAGTCTCTCACTTGGCCAGCCGAGCAGAAGTATTTTATTGCATTTATCCCGGTCTTCCGTCAAATTAAATCCTCCTCCTTCCCTATTTGTCCGCTCAACTCAGGTGCGGAGCTAACAAGGTTTGTCGAGCAGCCTACTACAACACAGGGGTGAAGAAATGTGTTCACATGTTACACGTTGATGCAAGAATACCATCTGTGTTTAAAGAAGATACCCCTACCTGGATCCGATATACAAAAACCCACACTTCCTACATCAAAGTAACGTAAACGGTACCTGGCACGTTTACTGATCACCTATACGGGTATGACGAACCAGCAGGTCTCTTGTTTTCGCGTATGTTACTGGGCATGTTTGATCATCTACTGTACACCCTAAAGACAAATAAACTATTCCACGTACTTTTCAAACTATTGTGTGAGCTATGTAACAAATTGGGATAACCTTTTCTTCATTATCTATACAACTTACGGCACCACTACAAAAGAGAAGTCAGACTTTCCCGAAGATACAGGCACACAACCAAAGCGGTAGGTGACCATGGATTATACGACATAAGGCCAGGCTGAACAATATCTAGTACATTGAAGTTATTCTCGTATATGTCACTGCCATTGAGGTTGCGAGAACCCGTTGACGGTTTAGTATTGACCTTACCCTCGTTAATGCTAATAACACAGATCCAGTCCACGATTAGTGAAATAGCGGAATGTAGGTAGCACCGGTGCGCCACATGGTTGTTGGTCTGTTTGCCTCGACCCAGCACTGATGACGTCAACTCGTTTGGTGATGAAACGTTTGCAATACAACTGCCAAACTCGGCCAACAAACCAAAAACCAACCAGTCCGCGAACTATACATCAAATTAATTTTTGTTTGAAAGCCAAATCGTAAGTAAAGTGTTCATGTTAGACTGTACTTTGTGCACTTTGTTTTGAACTAAAGAATTTCACGAACGAAAGATCGAACTGAGTAACTTTTTGGAACTATCTTGAATTCTGAGGAATTTCAATCTCCATATGCGTCACATTTGATGTTTAAATAGAAAACAGTCCTGTAAATGCGTGAACTATACCTATTTGATGGAACCCAAAAGGAACATAATCAATAGCGAACTGTCCATGGCTTTCAATAAAGCCTATTTTGGCTATCTAGCTAAGGAATTTCGGTAGAACACTAAAACCTGGGGTAGCTGACGGGTTATATCACCATTTCATTGATTACCATGCATTCGCCCATGTTCACTGTTTATTCATCGTGTTCAGGCCGCCTGGGGACTATCCGGATTCCTGTTCGTGCTAACCCGTTGTTATTCCTTTGTGTAACTAACCCTATCCGGAGTTCACGCGCGACATTACACCTGGTTTTAAGCAAACTGACTGCGATGGATCAAGTATACTTAGGATTCCACTAATACATCCGCTGTCGACTGGAAAAAATCACATCTGATACGAGTGACCCAAGCAGTAAATGCAGTAGTTCCATCAAACTCACCAAATGAATTTTCATCCGGGAACTGTAATAACAACAACTGTATCGTCTTCCGAATTGCATCTACCTGGCGGCAACCGAGAATATCAATAAGATTCGTTGATATTTAAGCGGTACCTGTTCAAACTGTGGACCGAATCCACTCTGCCCCGGAACTTCACCTTTTGCAAGTTCAGTAACGGAAAAACACCAACTCGTCAGCCTGATTACCCGACATTTTTCAAGGGGACGTGCTTGGACTGCTCGGCTCCTATTATCAAGTCAGGACTAGGTTTGATCACACACTGGGTTGCGTTTTCAGAATTTTAGAATTTTACCGCGCATAACACCTAAAACAAGTAGCACTGGATGTAGACAATATAGCAGTTTACGTCCCCAAAGATAAGACAGAATGTAAACTGCGTTAATGGACAGACAACGGGACATAAACCAGTTTTAAATCCAGATATCGCCCCGGAGGTCGGGAGTGATTGCCAAAGATCAAGATTTTCTTTGATAGTTTTTGCCAGACCAGAGTTTCTATGGACTTTTATCACAAATCATGAAATGTTCGCTGAACTAGGGGTAAATACGTGGGAAACTCTACTGCATTTGAGAGTTGGTTGGTTGGAGCGCGACCATAGAGCAAAATCATCTTCCTGATGTTCGAGAGGTCGAGCAAGTAGAGAATTAGCATAGGTAGAAGTTTGCTTGAGGCGTGGAATCCTGCGTTAGGTGAGCTATTCAGGAATACACATGGAATTTTGACAAAAATGTAGAGAATGGCACTCTGCTTTGTCAACGTTATAGTTAACGTCATATCATGAAATTTTATGGGCCACCGTATATATGGAAATGAAGTTATCTGCTGTAATTGCCTACCAAAACTGCAGGGAACGATGGGTTGTTTGATAATAGGCGGAAGTTTCATACACGATGGTGAACTTGAAGTAAGCAAGTCGCTACTTAATATACAGGAATACAGTGGACCAGAATAAGGATGACCAGTTTTAGCATGGTATTGAGGGTGGTAGTCATGCGTATGGGAAGAAAACAAAAACAGGGCATAAAATGATACCTTGAATTACGCCAACGTTCGTGGAAAGCGCAAAGAACTTTTAGCTACTTCAGCCTGGTAGGAAACACATTCTCCTTAAACATCACCGGAAAACATGCCGTGTTTAACTGTTAAATAACTTTGGGGATTTAAGTTCGAGGATTCTATTGTGTTTTACCAGTACCTCACTGAAAATCCCAGAAGTTCTGTCTTTGAGGCGGCTTGGTTAAAACAATGAATAGAGAAATAGAAATGATAGCGGGACATGTGAACCGGCCTAACAGAAAACATCTGCTTTTTTTAATATTCAGTCCCATGGTCGTTTCTTTTAAAACCCACATCCTGTTCCTTTGCCTGAAGCCTACTACTTTCCATTCTCATCTCCGATGACTGCTAACTATTTAACCTGCCTATCACAAAATGTTTTCATCTGACCATACAAAGAGTGTTTTAAACAACTTAACACAAACAAAATGAGAGGCATGTGCTAGGGAAGTTACCATTCTCGTTAGCTACGCTGAACGAACAATACATCATTATGTTCATCTAGACGGTCATAAAACCTACTCGGAACAAGCTATAGTGGACCATATAGCGTAAAAGAAACAAGCGCAAGGCCACTCTCATTATCTTGTTTGAAGAGCATATGTCACTAGTAATGTGTGCATCCCAACGAAAGCCGGATCTTACTGCTTGGTTCAGGCTTGAGGCAGGTATGAACACGCTTCACAAACGCTAATCATAGCTGATGAAAGCTTCTGTGAGGCAAAACTTTATCACGTTTACTTCCGGTCAAGTACAGTGACCCAAATCGTGATGACCTTTCCATTACTGCTAAGTTCTCGTGGAGAAACACACTCGTATTTTTTAGATGTTGTTTGACATTTGTCGGCGTTTTATTCGCGGGAATATTCCACGACTAAGTGGTCTCGATAGCTCCTCTCTGAAGTGAGCTCGGAAGAGTTGAGATAACATAGATTTTCTTAGGATAAACTGCTTTTTTATTAGAGCACAGGTGGTGATAGCCATAATACAAATCAGAAGGTATGTGGTACTAATAAAAGTCTTTTGTATGGTTGGTGTGGGTTGCAACACGTATAAAAATAGATACAATGCGAAAATGGGAGCGAGTCAAAAGGGAACTTATCGTATGTGAGAGTGCCTTGGTGAATGTCCGGACGACGGGAACGTGTTTTTCTCCGCAGTTCGACTGCTACACGTGTTCCATAATTGTCCGTGGACCTGTGGAGAGGTTGACATCCTGCTCCCTGCGCGCGCGCGCGAGTCTGTGTGTGGTGGGTGTGTTCGGTTGCCCTAGATGTAGGCCTGTTTGCGTGTACGTGGGTGTGTCAGCACATGAGTTGTTGCTACGCTCACTAGACGTTACCGACACTCGATGTCCGATGAGCCACCTTAATGTGACGTGTTTGCGAGTATGAAAAAAAGACAAGTCTCATGATCCACTGAGCGACTGTGAGCTGAACAGTGTGTGGGTGACTGGGTTGCTACACTTTCATAACAGTTCTGTAGGTAGGAACTGGATTTCTACAATTCTACAATTTCGCACTTCACCCACTGCAGGGTACCCGTAGTCTGCAGAATGTCCTACGAACATTGCATCGTCCTGGGGGTATGTTTTTCATAGACTACTGTCATTCTTTCCAATCGGCTCTTAGAACAACGTACAACCCTAATCAACTTTTGACGATCAAATTCCCACACTGATGATATTTTCCCTCTAAATGGCAGTTAGTCTACTTGTCTGTCACTACAGAACACTGCAGATGCAGCACACTTTGTGGATAGATATTCACCACTACAAAGTTCGGTTTCTTTCATGAAACCTAATACAAAATCATCTTATTTCAAGCTCTTTTGTCTTTATGCATATTTTATAGAGCCAACCATGTTTAGAATAGGCCAATCGACTCAACGTTTATGAAGATTTACTGTTGCATCGGGAGCAAAACAGTTGGAATACTCATTGATCAAGGACTTTGTCTACTACTTCTAAGGTCGGGTAGGTTCAGATCAAACTGATTCAGTTATAGCAGGAACGTTATCGTAATCTTCAGTTGCTTGTGGATTGGATAAATGAAGAAAAATTTATTGGTGATTGATCAGTTGGCTGTTGATCTGTTCGCCGAGTTTGACAATTGACCTGCAAACTTTTGTCACCCCACTAGAAGACGTCATTAGTGCGCAGTTGGGTGGGTCACATTAGCTCGGTTATAAGTGTGTAGTCTTTTAACGCGAAAGCAGGACATCATGAGCGAGTGTGTGTGTGTGTATGTGTGTGTGTGCGTGCAGATGAGGGATTTAGATTTGCACTTGTCAACACTTTGGTGTACCCTTACACCACTCAGTGTATGTGACGACTCCAAAAAGGAACAGGATCGACTCATCCAGAGCTAGCCATATGAGGGTTGCTTGAATGGAGGATATGCGTGATTCTAGTCACCAGCCAAACCTAGCTCATAATCATGAATATCCTTTGAGTTAAAACCACAGGTTCGACACGAAACAAAAGTATTCCAGTTATGCGGTTTGTGATTCAGAAATACGTGCTTACCTAGGTATTTGAGAATCAGAATCATCCAATGATGATACCGTAGTTAACCACCAGCTTGAACTGCTGCCATACTGTCTAATTCCCGATGAGGCAGGATCACATTCAAGTACACTAAAGGCTTATGCAGTCTCTTCTTGATTTTTTTGCGTGCGATTACTCCAGGGCGTCAGATTTACTCGTAAACATGACTGCTAACCGCTCCTAAAAGTGTTCCGTCAACATCTGCAGTGATTACTCTGTTCATTCTAGAAAACGGA